CCTGGACCTATGATGCTGACTTGAAAAGACAACATAATTTTCAAACCAGTGGAGGAAAGAAAAAAAACCCAAAATCAATCAGCTGTTGTCCCTGGAGCACAGATGCCCTGGCAAGGCCAAAGAAATTAAGTCCTGAGATTGCTGTTGCTGTTTCCACCTTGTCCTGCAGAGACACAGCCAGGGATAAACATATTCTTTGTGTCAATATTTCTGTAGTACTGAGAGAACTTACAGTCCTTATCTGTGAGTGTCAAGGACTGCTAAGTTAATGTGATCATAACATTACTGGAGAGTCTGACAGGCTTTTTTGTTCCCTTGTAACTGTTCTGGTGCTGAAAGCCAAAGCCCAGTAGATCTCAGCTGGATGTGACCATGGGCTTTGTGGCACATGGAAGGGATCCATCTGCAGGAGACTAACTTAAAAAAAACAAAAAGACCTTCAAAAAACACACAAAACCAACAAATAGATTTTGAACTTCCTTTTTATTTATTTATTTTTCTTTACTCTGCTTGATTATTTTTGCTTCTTTCAACCTTGATTTGTAAATCAGATGGAAATGTGTGAATAATCAATTCAGGCTGACTAACCCTTGTTTTGCCAGGTGGCTGGTTGGCTCATCAGATTACTAATAGTTTGCTGCAGCAATAAATGGGAAATAGCAAAGGCTGAGGCAGAAATACCACAGGTGACCTCTAAAAACAGCAAAGCACTCACCAAATGCAACACAATCCCTCCTTTTGTCCGTCCATGAAGATCACTTTTCTTTCAAGTCCCCTTAAAAATGAGGAGTAATTTGTAACACAGAACTGTGCAAGCAACCTAAAAAAGAGGAGAAAATCATAGGCAGGAAAAGTCAGCCTCTGTAGAGCATGTATGGAAAGGCAAAGTATGAGCAGAGCCAGGCAGTTCTTAGGTGTAAACTGCTGAGTGTGGAGGAGCCTTTGCTGCCTTTCCCACCTTTAATGGCTCTGTGCTATGTGGCACCAAGCAACTCATGAATAGTTCAGCCGACGGCTCCTTTTTAACTTTATAAAGCAGGGCAATTATTATCTACAGGAAAATTTTTTAAAGCTTGAATGATGAGGTTTATCTGCCTTTCCTGGCTAGATCTTTAGCACACAGCCACCAGACAAAAGCCACTTAAAAGGACTTTAACTCTGTGTTATCACCAGTGTTTGACTGGGCTGTGCCAATGCCAGAAAGGCTGTCTGAGCAGGGCAACCAGTTTGACTGAAGTTCTCTCCTGAAAGGTGGCAAAAGAGAGAATGGAAAATGCCCAAGTAATATCAAGGGACAGAAGTAACTATAGATTTTCAAAGGAGTTCTTGAAGGGGTGAAAAAAGGGAAGGAAATCTCTTCCCGAAGCACAAAATGGATGGGTTGGGAAAATTCACATGTATTTCACAGCATGGAATGAGGACTCAGTTGTGCTGTAATACCAAATGAAGGATGCTGATGTGAGACATCAGTCACAGATGCACAAAAATTCATTCCCAAAATCTTGTCCCAGCCATTGCTGGTTCTCATGAAAAGTTGGCAGTAAAAAGGGATCAGAAGTAATTATATTTGTCTAGATCTGTGCATTTCCCCTGCTGTTAATAAAGGCTTGTAGTGTTTCCAAAGCCTTGAGCAAAACTTAGATGTGTGTCAGCTTGCTTTCACTGTCGTGGGGCTCAGAAGAATTAACCAGTTCACAGCTTGAGAAGAGCATGCAGAGATCACAGAGGGATGGAAAAGGGGCTGAGTCAGCTCAGAGACTGCCACCTGCTACTGGAGCTTGTAATATCCAGCTTTGGGTTTATGCCCCAAAGTGTGCCTGCAGACCTCAAAACCAGGTCTGCAGTTTGAGGCACTCTCAGCAGATTCATGGTTAAGAAAATATGATCTAGCTGAGAAAGGAAGTTTCTCTGTTATAGTGTTTGCTCAGGAAGGATGCTGTAATGGATGAAGCTGCAGGGATGTTTCAGTAAGGACAAGCCCAGAATGGCATTCTAGGAGGCAGTGACTTTTGTGCATTTTCCCATTATTCTCTGCTGTACAGGTTTGTGCTGTAGTGAGGCATCAGAATTTGTGCTATTGTATATCGTGTCTGTTTGGTTTTAACATGTCCTTGTGTCTATCTAGAAATTCTGCCTGAGCAGAAAAGAAGACTTTGGATATTTGTCTTGGGTGTGCTGGTGTCCAATGGCCTGGTCAGGGCTGCAATTTCTACAGGAGCTCTGGACACCCAGGGATGCTGAAGGCAGTCTCTGAGCCTACACCCAAGGGCTGTGCTGAAGTTTCCCCTGGATTCTGTGTGCACAGCAAAGGGGATCAGGACACAAGCAAAAGGTTTGGTGCATCCAGAACTTGTCACACTGTGTGAGTGAGCTTGGGCCAGGGATCATTCTGTGTGCTCTGCACTCTCTTCCCAGGTGCTGTGCACTGCCTTCCTGCATTTCTAATACTTTTTCTTTGTTTTTTTTCCCTCATAGGGAAATCTCAGTGAGAAACACAGATGCCTTAGTTACACTTTCCTGATATTTTCTATTGCATTTCACCTCCCAGCAGTATCAAAAGGCTGAGATGCTCAGGAGGGTTCTTCAGATGTGAAAAAGTATCAGATCCCTCCTCCATCACGACATGCAGCCACACAGGGGCAGGTGCTGCCACAAGGGCTGGAGGCTGTGCATCCTCTCCCACAGCAGCATATTTGGATCTGCTTGAGCCCACTGAAAATTCTCACCTTCCTCTCTCCAGCCTCAGAAACAGCCAACAGCACAGCCCTGAAGCTGCACAGTGGGCAAAGGACCCAGCCTCCTCCAGTGGTGCTTTTAGGGAAGTGAAAAGGTTGTGGGCCCAGTAAAACAGATGAAACTTGAAAAGCAGAACTGGGAAAACACCGTTTTATTTCCACATAAGGTAAATATGGGACTACACTGCATCTCTAGCAATTTAAAGAAAGTTCAGAACTACTGTGACTAAAATATGAAGACATTGCCTTTTTCAAGTGGAAAAATGCAAGTTAGAGAAACCTCTAACATGTCCCAGTGCCTAGGTAGGTTGTAGTAATGATAAAATGAAGATTGCAACTTTTAGTTGTTTTCATGTGATAAACATTACAAGGGAATTTTGTATGTGTTCAACTCCATTAAAGCCCAGCCTTGTTGGCTTAGATTTTAGCTGTATCTAAATTTCATGTCCTTTGCATTGCTAAATCACACTAAACTTCACCTACTCAGGAAACAAAGGGGTTTTAATTGAGAAAAAGCAGTAAAGCGAGGTTTGCCAAACATCTATTTTGGGTAAAAATATTTAAGGCCCACATTTTCACCAACGTAATCCTTTTTACGTCAGTGAAGTTACACTAATGCAGAATTTGGCCCTGATGTATTTGTACAAATATAGTATCCAGGATTTTGATGAGTACGTATTCATGCATTATTCATTGAGACAATGTGGAGAGGAAGAACGAGGTCTGTGCATGAGAGCAGAGCCCTGAGCACCCCCAGTTCCTTTGATGGTCCCCAGCAGGATGAAGGAGCACCTGTAGGGTCACCCCTGTGCTGCTGCCTGGCCAGGACTTGTTGAGGCTGAATGTCCCCTTGGGAAGAGACTGGTTTATGTTTGCCAGGCTGTGGGATGTGTTACTGGCAACTCTGAAGAAATGCAGATGGAGGATATTTTTGCGAGTTTAAATTGAGCTGGATTTGGAAAGAGATGAGATTGCATCTTGGTGCTGCCACAGACCTTTTGTTTGATCCTCTGTGCCTCTGTTTCCCCATAAAATGAGAATAATACTTCATTTTCCCTGCAGGACAGTGAGGCTTACTGTGGGGAGAAGGAAGGGTGTGCTGTCCCATGTGCCCTGACAAAAGGGTGCACAGACCTTTGTCATAGGACTGCATTCTGATATCCCAGGCTACACCTTCCCAAGAAATCTGAAGAAAGGAAAAACTGCATTTGGAAAACCACTGATTGAGCAGCAAAACTGACTGCTCCTGCAGCTGGCCCCACTGTGAGCTTCCCCTACAGGAGCTGAGCATAGATCCTGATCCATACCAAGTATTGCAGAGCTATAGTGTGTTTATGTACATATATACATATACATAAATTATTATGTGTGTTTGTATGAAGAACTAGTGATGTCTACAGTAACAATGGGGGGTGTGTGTGGAAATCCTCTCCATCAAGCTTTGGCAGGCAGGAAAGGGGCAGGTGTGGGGCAGGACAGAGGCAATGGGGCTCGTCACACCTCCCCAGGGACTCGCTGATCTCCAGGAGATGCCCAAAGGCTTGCACACTTACAGACTCACACAGTGCTTGGGGTTGGAAGGGACATGAACAAGCCACCCAGCCCAACTCCCTGCAAGGAGCAGTGACGCCTTCAACCCGATCAAATTGCTCAGAGCCCTGTCCAACCTGACCCGGAGCGTTTCCAGGGATGGGGCATCAACCAGCTCTCCGAGCAACCTGCTCCAGTGTTTCCTCACCCTCACACTCTTCCTCACACGGACTCCCAGCCGCCCTTGTTTCAGTTCAGCCCGTTTCCCCCGTCCCGTGAGGCAGGCCCCTCCGGGCCCGCAGCACCGCCCCGGGGCCGAGCGCGGCTCCCATTGACGCCGGGCCCGGGCCGGCCCCCGCCGCCGCGGGGCCAATGGGGGCGGCGGACGCGGTCGAGCCTCTCCCCAGCCTCCCCCGCAGCGGCCGGGAGCCCGTCATGTGAGGGGGATATAGTACTACGGGAGCGGGGCCGCGCTCCGCAGCCGCGCACCCGCCTCCCGGGGGAGCTGCGCCCGCCTCCCGCCGCCGCTCCGCGCTCCCGGCCGCTCCTGCCTCCGCGGGCGGCTGCTCCGGGCTTGCTTCGGTCTACTCCCGCGGTTTTGTTGTGCGTTTGTGCCTTTTTAAATTTTTCCTTGATTTTTAAAAATTATTATTTCTATAATTATTTTTTCTTTTTAATTTTTTTTTTTTTTTTTTTTTTTTTTTTTTTTTTTTTTTTTTTGTGGCTTGGTTGTGTTGTTTGGGGTTTTTTTCCCCCCTCGTTCTCGTTGTTGTTGTTATTGTTGCGTTCTTCTGGTCGCCCGTGGCCTTTGCTGCCCCCCGGCTCGCAGAGGAGTTCAGGTAAGGGTTGATGGGGGCGCGGGGGCCGCGTCCCGCCGGCGCTGCCTCCGCGGCTCGGCGGGGCCGGGGCTGTGCCCCTGCTGCCGGCAGATGAATTCCATCCCGCCGGGGCAGCGGCCAGGGCTGGGGGCTGGCTTCGGGCTGCAGCGGTGCCGTGCCACGGAGTGACAGGCGGCGAGGGGGGGCTCATTCCCGATCATCGCGACCACGCTGCGGAGGAGAGAGGGGGAACTCAGGCCCCCAAAGCCTCCTGAAAAGGGATGAAAGGAAAAGGAAAAAAAAAACATAAATAATTTTTTAACAAACAAACAGACAAACGGAACAAAAAAAAACACGATTAAAAAAAAACAAAAACCCAAACAAACACGTTTTGCAGCCATGGAAGGCTGGCTGTGCTGGTGCTGGAGTGGCAATTGCGTGTGTGTGTCCTGCACCCCTTTCCCTGCCCAGCGCCGTGCCCGCGTTATTGCGGGGTGCGCTCCGCCGGGGCCGCTGCCTGTGCCCGCCGCAGGTGAACCGCTGCCTCCTGTGGAAGCCAAAGTTTGGGGCTGGAGCGGGATAGTTTTCAGAGAAGAACGCTTTGGGAATGTTTCTGCGGCTTCCCAGGAGCAACGGGTTTGAGAAAAACAAACCTGAACGCCCCGCTGTGTCCGGGGAGCAGCACAGCCACCTTGCGGAGGAGATGAGAGCAAATGGGTTTACTCCTGGCTCACGGCTTCTTTTTATTTTTTTTTTTTTATTATTATTCTCCTCCTTTGCATTTCTCTTTTAATTTCTTAGACGCTCTGGGCCCGCTTCATTGCCTTGTTTATGGCTCGCTCTGTGGAGCAGAAGTCAGCCTGAACAGATTTAGAACAAGAGAAAACCCTGAAGAGATAAGTCCTAAACTAGAAAAAGCTGTGGCAGTAAATGTAGGAAATGACTGTCAGCGTCTCATATATGCTGTGTGATCAGTTGTGCTGGGCTGACTGTCCAGAAATGACAGGCTGCGAAATACATCCCCGTGTTTCAGCAAGTTCCCAGCACTTTACATTTTAATGTTGCTCTGCGTCAAAATATGTCTTCTCTGGTTTGCTTTTTGTCGTTATTTTTTTTTTAGCTGGCGATTAGATGGTCAGGTTTTAAACAGAACAACATGTTTTTGGCAGAAAGGACATCATAACAACCCAGGGAACTCTTAAAAAAAAGTTGGAGATGGTGGTGCTGCCGAACAGCTGCTGTATTTCACTCCAGAAGAGGCTGTTTCCAGTGGCTCAGGCACTGCAGTCCCACTATAGGTGCTTACATTTCTAACATGTTTTCAGCGTTCCTAGAGATGAAAGTGTGTTATGGAAACAGCATCATTAGTTTTCGTGGCCTTCACAGCCCCGGCTTTTTTTGGTTTTGTTTTCTAATCTTCTGTTTTTGGCCGTGTCTTCAGGCAAAGTAAGGATAAAAGTATTTTGGTTGTTAGCCTGGCCTTTAGGAAAAAAATATAGCCAGGGCCCGATCCTGCATTCCAGGCATTCTCCAAAATCTTCTTGGCTGTTCTGCAAGTTTTGAGAGCGCACAGAAAGCAGAACTGGCCCGTAGTGTGCCTGGATCTATTTGGCTCTGACAGTCCTCTCTTAAAAAGCCTCTGGTTACATCGAGTGACATTGTTCCTTGTCAAAAGAGATGGGAAACAAGCCTGCTGGCTGTTTTCTGCTGAGGTAACTGGCCCACAGCAATTGCTAGGGGTTCATTATTGGTTTTTTTCCTCCCTCATTTAAGTCCTAATTCAAATTGCAGTTTAGTTCTATTTCCCAGGGAAATATATTGATATTTTGATAGTGGCTTCCCAGCTCTTGCAAGCATTTAAAGAAATCTTGAACATTTTAAGTTGGTTTTTTTAAGAGAAGTTCACCAACTGCTTTTGGTGCACGCAAAGCATGCCAGCTTTTCTTAGAAAAGCACATGTTGCAGTCCAGATTTCCCTCACAGCCCCATTCTTCAGAAGTTTGGGCTGGAATAATACAGACATTAGAGGAAGAATCAGAAACCATCTGAGGGCAAGTCTTCCTTTCTGCCCTGTGTTTCTCAAGGCAGTCGCCAGTTTTTGGTGCAGGATAGAAACAATCAGCTTGGGTGAATTCTTACCAGATGCCAATACTAATTTGTCAGAAGCAGATGGTGCTTTCTGTTTCAAAACTGGAATAGCTCAGTTATAGGACTTCTGCTGGGGGAACTTTCCAGCAATATAGAGAGTAAAAAAAAAAAAAAAAAAAAGTGTGTTAGAAATAGTGCAGTTCTTCTGACTCTTTGCTTTTACTATAAGACATGATTATAGACTAAGGTCACAAAACAGAGCCACTAACCTCTGCTTGAACTTCCTTGTGTTCAGCACATGTAGGTATTTCATTATTGGTTCAGAGGCACAGCTGACTGACAGGACACACAGACCAGGAAAATGTGCAGTCTTACTTTTAGTCATTATTTCAACCTGTCCCTGTTTCCTCCATGTGTCTGTGAAGGAGGAAGACAAGTCTTTAAGAATTGTGGCTTCCCCCCCACTCCTTTCTGGGAAGTATTAATAGATGTTGCCAGTGGGACAGAGCTCTTTAAGGGTGTTGTGTAAAATACCTCGCTTTGTGTTCGCTGCAGCACTGAGCATACAGACACCTTTTAATTTTTCTCCAGAGAAGGAAAGACAGGGCAAATCTTGGAGATGAGGCAGCAAAGATGCTCTGCAACAGCAGTAACAACCATCCCCTCGGCTGCACAAAACTGGGAGCTATTGACTATTCATGGCAAAGCGTCCACAGCGGCAGAGCCTGTGGAAAATGACAGCGTGTAACAAGATTGACTGGCATTTCCTTCACGCTGGGTCACATGCCTCCCAATTCACACACACACACAAGCTCACAGGCTGATCGAATGACTGCTATCTCTGCACTGCACATACCTTCCACAGAAAGAGTTGTTTTATTATGCACATGTACAGCTCTGTTTCCAATCAGTCACCTTGAGCAAGTGACTGAGGGCCAGCCTTGGCTCCATCCCGAGCTCTCTGCCTTTGCTCTCTAAGGGGCACAATCTCCGTCCGTAAGCAATTTCTGTTTGTTTCCCTCGGGGAGGTGGGGAACAAAAAAATACGTGGATGTCCCTCCTGCCTGTCCCTCCCCTTTCTAGGAAGTGGCCTTTCTAGGAAGTTTGCTTGTTTTGGAGGGTGAAGTGCGGTTCAAGCGCGGCTGTCAGCGGGCGCGGGGTGGCTGCGCTGGCCGGGGCGGGGTTTGCTGTTGCGGGTTTGTAGCGGGGTTAGGGCTCATGGAAACCGGGATTTGCGGGATGCTGCAGGTCGGGATGCCGTGCAGCCCTCCCGGTGCAGCAGCTGGCTCGGGGCTCAGCTCAGCAGCGGGGAAAGCAGCCACCAGCTGGCTGGCAGGGCATGGTAATTAGCTCAGTGCCAGCCTTATTAAGGACAGTGCAGGTGATGATGACGTTGGCACACTGATTCATTACATCTGGAGGGGAAAATCCACCTAGTAAATGCTGAAGCACAGTAAATATTTTTGGCTCCTGCCAGATTGATCCTTTCATTATGCTGAACAGCCTATATTTGTAGAACTGAGGAAGTGAAAAATAAGGTTGGTGGAAAGCTACAAGATAGGGAAAGGATTTGCATTTTATGGTCACCAGCAATAAACTTTTTTTATTTGTTTCTTTTTGGTGGTAAAAATTTCAACACTTTATTTTTTCTTTCCCATTCCCTTCTTTGGCTCTGGATTTCACTGCTAGGTGAAAGCTTCTTATTTATTTTCTCTTGCTGGTAATATTCTATAAGGGAGCTGTAAATCTGGAGCACACACACGGTTGGGAAATGATTTCTGACAGCATTCTTTTGCAAATATGTGGTGCAATCTTGCAAAACGCTTCAGCCCTGACAGTCCTCAGGGGGTGGTGCAGACCTATCAAAGCTTGTAGAAGCCTGTGTACCCAGGGAGGCTGGATGCTCTGGACTTTCCTGTGGGCTAGAGGGCTTTACGAGTTTCAGTTCATGGAGATAAATGATTAAACCAACTTCTGACTGTTGCTGTTTTGTTTTTCCTGCACTTAGGCTCTCACCTGAACTTTGGCTGCCTGGTATATGCTGTTGGGATATCCTTAAGAGATCATCCAGGAATGGTGGATCACTTGCTGCCTACTGATGAATCCTTTTCATCAACAAGATCTTCCCTTGGATACTTTGGGGACATGACAGCTGGAGTGAGGTCCTACCAAATGCTGCCCTCTCCCCTGTCAGAAGATGACAGTGACTCGTCCAGCTTTTGTTCTTGTTCCAGCCCTGACTCCCAGGTCCTCAGCTCCAGCTATGGAAGCACATCCAGTGCAGAAAGTCAGGACAGTATCTTAGACTATTTATTGTCCCAGGCATCTTTGGGGAACACCACTGCATCATGGTGGGACAAAAGGAGACTTCAGCCAATAGTGAAAGAGGAGTACTTTAGGTTGCCTGAATTTCCTGTGGATATGGAAGACTCAGGACCATTTCAGCCCACACTTGAGGAAATTGAGGAATTTTTGGAGGAGAACATGGACTTGGAGCTCAAAGAAAGACCTAAAAGCGAGACCAAGGACTTGAGAGCTTGCAGCCAGGTTTCTGTTGCTTCTCTGCAGCAAAAAGACCATATGCTACCCAGTACTAGTTTAAAAGAGAGTAAAAATGAGCAGTTGACTAGCTCAACGGAAGGTGGCCAAGCTTCAAATGGAGGAATGACCCTGGAGAATGGAATACCTGTTATGCTCCAAATCCAGCCTGTGCAGATCAAACAGGAGTCCAACACGAGCCCCACTTCCCAAGGACCAGCACAGGAGAACATTAAAATTGCACAGCTCCTAGTCAACATCCAAGGACAGACATTTGCCCTTGTGCCTCAGATAGTTCAGTCGTCCAATTTGAACTTGTCCTCTAAATTTGTCCGCATCGCTCCCGTCCCCATCGCCGCCAAGCCAATTGGGCCAGGGGGCATGATCCAGGGGCAGACGGGAATCATCATGGGTCAGAAATTTCAAAAGAACCCTGCAGCTGAACTCATTAAAATGCATAAATGTTCTTTTCCTGGCTGCACCAAGATGTACACGAAAAGCAGCCATTTGAAAGCCCACCTGAGGAGGCACACAGGAGAAAAGCCCTTTGCGTGCACGTGGCCGGGCTGTGGATGGAGGTCAGTATTGGGGTGCAGCTCTGTCCAGTCCCCCTTCCCCTTCTTGCTCACTTGACCTCACTTGCTGAGCAAGTAGGTTTGCACTCAGATTTATAAACTGTTCCTATTGCCAGAACTTGTTTGGTTGGTTTTACAATGAAGACCTTTTTTCTTCCTGTTAGGTAACGCAGGGGTTCTGATAAATTAAATAGCACAGCATCACCTTCTGGCACCAGCAGCTTTAGTGTCTTAAAAAAAATTAAAGTAGTCCATCGTAACTTTTATTTCATTCTAGAGGGTCAGATGAAGCTTGTTACCACAGGTAAGACCTGGTGTTTGCATTGGTGTGGCTGCAGCACAGCAGCCCCAGCAGACCTGTGGCTGGCACCAGCTGAGGCTGAGTGAGCTCAATGGTTTGGGGCAGAATTGCTGTGCACAGCCCTGTGTGGGACTAAATGTGGCCAGCGAAGGGCTGTGATAAGCAAGTATGGTTAAAAGCAGTACTCTGTGCACTTTCATAGAAAATGCACTCCATCCCACTCCTTCTTAAAATGCTGGCAGTGACACTCTGGCATACTCTGGGTTTTATTCTCTGTCTTGATTCAGAAAAATGCGTGGGTGCCACTCAAAGTTGCAAAAAAGCTGTCAGATGTAACAACATAACCAGAAGGCTGAGGTGGAGTTAAGGATTGCTTGAATGAAGGATTGCAGGTTTGATTGAGAAAATGTTTGGCAGAAGGATTTTTAAAAATATTTTATTTTATTTTTAACATGAATTGAAAAATTTAGTCTTTTTAAAAAATATCAGCTTTTTATTTTAAGGAAGCTTTGACAGGTGCCTTCCTCCCTCTTTCCAGTTAGCTGTATTACTGGCTTGCCTGCTGGCAAGTGCTAATGTACAGCACCACTAATGATGATGGGAGAAAATATAATCTTAACTGTCTTGTGTTAAATTAAATTGAATTTCTTGCAAATAATATGCTGCAGAGCTTCAGTGAGCAATGTCTAATGAGAAAATGGGTTGTGATCATGGGCAACAGATGAGGTAAAAAGTAACAGGAGAATGTTGTATAAAAATGCAAGTATGTGAGACATGCAGCAGTTAGAGATGGCTGGGTTGGTTTGAGGGAAAAGGTCACAGGGGAGCTGAACCCTCTCTTCTCCAGCTGGACCAGTCTGAAGTTTGTTTCTCAGAAGGGCTGGGGAGATCAGATTATGGTGGCTCTACAAACTGGTGGTGATTTGTTTCCTTTTGTCCTGGTGGCATCTCTCATGCCACCAGTTTGTTGCTGCTCAGGGTATCTGCTCACCAAAGCTGCATTTTTCAGCTGATTGGTCCCAGAAACTGTGAGCTGGGTGCTCCCAACCTGCAGGACAGGCGCTTGCTGCTTTTTATTTGGTTGCCAGAGTATGTGTGCACAGGCAGCAGATGTGCCTGTGGGTGTCATGCTGGCTTTCCTTGCATGTGAGCACAGCTCTCCTTTTTGTGACAAAATGCATGTGGCAGTGAGGGTTTGTCTAATCCAAACTGAGATTTGTACCAATGCTCCCAGGGACTTGTGTGGCTCAGGATCAGGAGCCCGAAGCATTGCCCGTGGACGACCTTCTCCAGCTCTGTCTTATCACAAAGCTGGTGTTCCCCAAGATACAAAACCAATGAGAATGTTTGGGAAAAATAGTAAGTGATAAAGGTTGATTAAATTTACAACAGGTGCCTCTCTTCTCAAAATGTTGTGGCAAATGATTTGCTGCCTTGGCTGGAGGGCCAAAAGAGGTGCAGGTCCCACAGCCTGGAGAACCCTGAACTTTCAGCCACCACAGCTTTTTAAAGATGAGCCCAACAGGAAGGAGAAATTAATCATAATGAAGAACATGTGTCTTGTCCACAAACAGCTGCTGCAAAGGGCTTTTCAAACTCTTGTGCTGTTTGTCTTGTTGAATTTCACAGCCTGGGCTGCAATCTCAATCCCCAAAACCCCCAAACTTTGGAAGGGCTCTGCTACAAGAGAAGTTTATAGCCAGCAGGAGAGGCCTCCTGTGCTCACAGCAATCCTTAGCACCAGCCTGGGATTGCTGCACATCCCCTGCGTGCTGCTCCACGTCAAAGGCCAGACCCAACTGAGCATTGAATTACTCAGTCCCCTTTCATCAATAAACCATGTTTACCTTCTCAAAAGTTCAGTGAGAGCTGTGACTTAAGTCTCACATGACTTAAGTCCACTGCATCTGGCCACTCTGTTTGCTCCCAGGTCTACATAATCTCAAATGAATTTAAGCACTAAAACACTGCTGGGCTCTGCTTTCCCCCTTTTTCCCTGCATTCTTGTGCTTGTGTATTTATTTTTTCACTGAAGACACTTAAGAGCTGATCTCACTGGAGATAGTAATTTCAAAACCAAAACAAAGTGTTGCCTAGCACAAAGTGCCTGAGCTCAGTGGGAGGGTTAAAGGTTCCTCAGCACTCTGTGCACGATGTTCTAAATTCACCAGGGTTGGAGTGTGCACCCAGCAAACCCTTTTGCTCACCCCTAGGATGGCTGGAGACCCCTAGCACCTCCCTGATGGAGGCTGAGCCCTGCTTGCTTGTGCCCTTCCTAGGCACAGGGCAAGGGCTGTTTTTGGCAGTCTGCAGAGTGGTGCTCACTGGCAGTGGCCAGTGACCCATTGTGCTCCCTGGATGGGTCAGGGCACTGATCTGTGTCCTGCCACCTTCTACCTTTGGCACCCCTGGTCAGCACTGCTCAGGCCAGAGAGCTGAGCTGCAGCAGGGGCTGGGCCCAGCAGCTGTGTTATGGCTCAGAGCAGGAGAAGCTCCTGCTTCCCTCCCTGGCACAGCGCTGTGCAAAGCTGCAGCTGCTGCAAGGCTGGGGGGAGGCAATGGCCTTTAAATGCCCCACTGCATCTTCTGGCTGCTGACAGCCACGAGCTCTGCCTGGCTTGGCAGGGAGGGTTTAAAGGCTTGGTAACATGTGGCCTGAGTGGCCATGGGCAGTACCACACGTGGAGCAGGGCAGGCATCTCGCATTGGCTTTTCTTGCTGCTGCTGTGCAAAGGGATGACAGGTGCTCAGGAGCTGTTCTGGTTCCTTGTAGGAAAGCTCTGGGAATGGGCAGGAGGAATCTGTGTAGGGCCTCCCCTCCACTGTGGGGGAGAGGTACAGCCTGAGTTGGCCTCAAAGGCTGGTGGCCATGGCAGGGGCCAGGAGTACCAGGCTAAAGCTATTGACCTTTTTTGCCCCATGAGCCACATAGGAATGTCCCCATGTGTCTGGGGGACACAGAACATGTCCTACACATCAGGGAGCTCTAGGACTTTTCTTCAAGGGAGATGTAGTTACAGTCCCTTGGGGTCCTGCCAGATTGAAGGATGAAGAAGGCTCTTTTAGTTGCTGTGGGATTTCCCAGATCCCTTCACTTTCTTTCTTTCTTTTTTTCTTTTGAAGGAGGAATCCTTCTGGAAATGGCAGTGACAGAATAGTGAGGTATTCCTTGGGGCTTCCTTTTTTTTTTTTTTCTTTTGAATTTTGCATTCCACAGTGGATTATTTTCACTTTCTTTGGGTTGATCTCAGTGCCAGAGTGTGTTGCAGATATTTCACTGCAGAGCCAGACCGCCAGATCCTCCTGGCTTCCTTGTCCTAACCTTTGCGTTGTTTTTTTGTAAACACACAGACAGCTTGAGGTTTATTTCTGTGGGCTCTGTAAGTTGATCTTTCCGTCACTGCTGGGGAACAGTGTTGCAACATTCCTGCCTCTTCAGCTAAGGACATGGTTATGAGGCAGAGTGTATTTTTATCGGATGAACTCATCCAAGCTCATTCCTGCCATGTGCCTCTTTCTCCCCCACCGTCCGTGCAATTCCCCTCAAAATGCACTTGTGAGGCTCTTGTGCAGGATTAGCCAAGTGCTACTGCACTTCTGTTCCAGATGGTGACCTTAATGGCCAAGGACATAGGACAGGACAACCCAGCCACATCTGCTTTTACTTCTCTGAGGTCTGTATATAAGAGGATGGCTCTTTGCAAAAGTGCTTTTCCTCTTTTCCCTGGATGTGGCACAGTTCTGTTTCTTGTCCAACACTCAGTCCTGTTGTGGCAGTCTGCACAGGCAGCATCCTACACTCTCCAGACCCACTCACCCACAGTCCTACCAGAGCATCCCTACAGGGATCTGGCCCTGGGACTAGCTCCCTGCTAAGGACTTGGGAGAAATCCCTGACCCTGCTGCTCCTGGCTCCAGACTGTGGTTTTAGGAAGCTATGGCTGAAAGGACCAGGGGTGTTAGAGAAAGCAAACATACAAGTAGAAGGCATGTAGAGAAACTTCTGTCATAGCCTTTATGGAGAAGAGTCATGCCAAGTGGACAGTTCCATAACAGCTGCCTCTTCATCATGGAGAATTTCACTCTTTTGCCATGGAGCAAGGAAAGGAAGAAAAGCAACTGAACAGGTGAAAGAATCTCCCCTAGAAATGCCCCTGGGACAGATGCCCACACCATACCTTACCCATGGTGAGTGCCTGGATCAGTTTTCCAGGGGCTGAGTGCTCTCTGGGGAGCATGACCAGTCTGAAGAGCTGTAGCAACTCAGGAAATCATTACCAGCTTTCCCAGTGCCTATGCCCTGGTCCTCAACTGTTGGCGGGAGATCAGAGCTAATTAAAACCTTTATGTGGAAACTTACTTTTCTTGCATGAGGGATTTATTCATAGGAGCCCAGCAGTTCTCTTTTCTCCCTTTCATAAAAATAGCGTATTCGCTCTGTTGGTGATGTGATATTTTGCTCCAGAAGGGCACATTTTTCTACATGTTCTTTCCCTGATTTGTTCAGCTAGTGCCCATGACTTCACTTATTTATTGTAAATAAACAGCTGATACCATTTCTTGCAAGCTCTCTTTCTGTGCTGCTCTTTGTTACTGCTCTGGCAACAAAACCCTTAATTGCCCTTTGTCAGGCAGCAAATTTTTTGTACCCATCTGGACAGGGCTGTTTTAGTGTGACATTGTTAATTAACCCTCTGTCTCCTAGTTGTGTCCAAAGAGGAAATGGAGCCAGCCCTGCTCTTAAGGCCAAAGGATCAGTTCATTTGGGTTCAATAAAGCCTGTGGGATTCATGGTGACTATTTGGGGATTTTTCTGTGGAGATGGAAGGTGGAAAATATCTAAAATAAAAAAGATTATGGAACACAGTTTTGGTAATTAAAGGCTCATTCTTAATTTAATTTACCCGTGCTAACTATGCAAATAACTATGCAAATGGCCATTGGGGCCCACCTGAATTTCAGCTGTTGGGATGCTGAGCATCTCTGGTGCTATTAATGACTCTTTATTTAGCCTACAGGAGCACACATGGAAGCCAATTTTTCATGTGGATCTAATAAGTCATGTTGTTTCTAGGTAGCTCTGGCTGGATTTATCTGGAATCCCTCTGAAACTGGGTGCACTTAGGGGGTGTGCTGGTGCAGGGGGAGCTTGAAAAAAGACCTTACCTGCAGGACAGTGGTGGTTGTCTTTGCTTGAGGAGTCTGTGCTTGGATTTGCAGGAGAGAGATGGTGGGGGTGACTTTGGAGGGGACTGCAGGGGGATCGAGAGCAGCGCTGCTTTTGTCAAGCTGTACTCATGCCGTGGTGTCCAGGACAAGGCTGGTACCAATGCTGTGTCCATGCATTGCCCTGAGTCCAGGGCTGGTAGCTCTGTGTTTCCATCATTGCTGGGACCAGCCCAGCCCTGCTGTGTTTCCCTTTCACCTCCTGGAGTCTCCCAGTGACCTGGGGGGACGTTTTTTACCTCGCTGTGCGGCACTTAGCACAACAAGCCCCCATTTATCTGACAAGGCCTCTCCTCTCTTGCAGGTTCTCCAGGTCAGACGAGCTGTCCCGGCACAGGCGCTCCCACTCGGGGGTGAAGCCCTACCAGTGTCCAGTGTGTGAGAAGAAGTTTGCTCGAAGTGACCACTTGTCCAAGCACATCAAGGTGCACCGGTTCCCGCGCAGCAGCCGCTCCGTGCGCGCCGTGAACTGACGGCTCCTGCCCTCCCTGCCCGCCAGCCGTCCCCAGCAGCCACCACAGCACTTTGCTCACCACCTTCCTAGTGATAATTTATTTGTCTCCACAGAACAGTCCATGCTGTTACTTGATACCACCGTGTTTGAGTGCCCCATGTCCTTCAAAGATGATTTGAGAATGAAGCTCTTTTTGGGTCAGGGGAGCGGGGCGCTTCTTCCTTTTTTTTTTTTTTTTTTCTTTTAAGGATATTATTTTCCTTTCCTTCTATCTGTCTCTCCTTTGCTGCTGCTTCTTTTGGAAATTACAGTGTTTTATTTTTAGCTGTTTTCTGCTGCACAGGAAAATGTAAAAGTTGCTTGCTGCTAGTTAATTATAGCCCTGGCATTCCTGAGGGCTTTGCTCATGTACAGGCCACTCATTGTGAGTTTTTATTAAGCTGCTCTATTTGTCCAGTTTGGAAACAGCAAATTCCTTTTGAAATGAAAACAACTCCTTTGTTTTTGGGTTGCCTGAGCCAAGGATTTGTAGGGGCTGGCCATAGGAGGAGGAGCAGTGGGAGTTGGGGATAGGGGGAGACAGGGTTTGGAGAGCACTGAAATGTGCCTCCATGCATCTCTGATTTTCCCAGCTCACATTTACCTTTCCCTTGGCTAGGGCTATATATAAATATTTATGTATATATATTCATACATACATACATATATATATATATATATATATATATATATGTTAAAGGAAAGACACATCCCAAGCAAATCCAGAAGCTCAGGCTGGATGGAATGGCTTGGAGTGAAGCCTCTGGAACTGTGTGTGTGCTTCTGTCCTGTGCTGCCAAGGGGTGCAAGGATGCCCAGGCTCCAAAGGACACTGCTTTCCTTTGAGGCTGGTTTGCAGCATCCACTTCCTTTAGCAGAAGAGCTGTTGTCTGCCCACAAGGCAGCACAAAGGTGTTTGTGAGAGCCTCTGAGCTCTGTTCTGTCTCTGCTGCTGCCCTCTTGTGTGACCTGGGGGCGAGAAAGCAGAGCCCCAGCCCTGGGGGAGCCTGGTGAGCACTGGGCTCATCATCACAGCATCCCCACATGCACTGAGAGTCAGGGCCTGGCTGGCTGGAGCTCAGTGTCTGTGTGCTGGCAGGGTCTGCAGGATGTGCCTGTGCCCACCCCGAGCTGGTGGGACAGTGCTGTGAGCCCGAGGTCTGGGGGCGATCCTCAGTGCTAATCCTCTCCCTCCTGACAGCCATGTCAGAGCTCCATGCAGCTGGGGTGGGCAAATGGGTGAGAACAGCAGCCAAAAGAAACAAATTTGTGTGATAGCTGGCTAAGAAGGGAATTTAAGCAAATAATCAGATGGTAGCAGGCAAGTGATTTTATTTGTGTTTCTTCTTGTTTTGTTTTTCCTTTTGAACTCTGGCGATTGTAAGAAGCTTTAGAAGAAAATAGGATTCAGTAATTAGGAATGATTTTATAATGGATGTTGCATTTCCTTTCCATTTGCAGACGGCATCTGTTTGTCTTTTCTGTTGGCAAAATGGGAAGTAGGAAAGTGTGATCCTAGAGCTAGGCAGAGCAGGAGCCCATGCTGTGTGAGAACAGCAGGTCTGGCTAAAGTGAATGCATTCCTTTTGTCCTCTAGAAATTAATATAAATGAACTATCATCTATTGACTGGTTTATATCACATCCTATGAATGTATGTAAATAAAACTGTACATAGATGCATATCTATATAAAATATCTTTTAATAACATATCAAATTTGTGTAAATTGGAAACAAAAATACCTATAAAGCCAGTGTACATAAGTTACAATTCTGTATATTTTCTTTTGTTCTTCATAAAAATATATTTACTTTGACAATAAAATGAAAATGGAAATTTTAAATCCCTCCTTGAAATTATTATTCATTAATTTCCTTTATAGCCAGCTCTGAAATTTTGGTTCACCTGGACGTAACTTTTCAGGTGCTGTGTAACAGGGAGAGGATGGATCAGTTCTGAAGTTATCTTCAGTTTTTCTCATCTCAGAAAGTTCTTGGGAGGCGTGAGATGTCTCAGCTGCCTCTCTTCACTGGAGCCCTCACGCCCTGCCTGGCAGCCACGCTGGGACACAAATGCCTTCCATGGCTCCTGACTGCTGTGGAACAGGTCTACAGATGCAGTGAAACTGTGGTTCATAAAGTAGAGCAAGCAGGTTTGGAAGGAATTCCAGCTTTAGTGATTAGTGTGGAGGAGGAAGGGCTTCAAGGTCTGCTTCAGACGGTGATGCATTGTGTGACCCAAGACAAAGGACTCCATTGCCTGTTCTGCACTTCCCTTTCTTGTAAAAGGGGGATAATAACACATGACAATGATACTGTGGGACTTAATTTGCCTTTGTGTGATCCTTGGATGGAAGGAGCAAGCAATGAGACCAGTAGTCACAGGATTAGATTGTTAAAGAAAGGCCCAGCGTGATGGTCTTGGTGCCAGGGCACCTCAGTTGGCTCTGCTGCAAATCCCACGCCTGACAGAGTGATGTGAAGGAGCTGTGCTAGGAAGAATTGCCTCAGGCCTGAGGAGAAGACGCCCTGTTCTGCAAAAGCCATTGCTTCCATTTGTAACAACGGGGGCATGAGCACCATGCTCTCGTGATCTGCAAGCTGGGACATGTCTTGCACTGTGCTTCTGCTTGCTTTGGCCTCCGCTGGAAGAAGAAAGCAGGAACATGGCTGGTGTTAAAGTCACCTCTGAGTCTCCATGGGAGCAATGGTGCAGTGGGTCCAGATCTTCTCCCAGCAAGAACCATTCTGACACTAGCAGGCACTGAGGGATTAAAGTCTCTCCCTGAAGAACAGACACCAAAAAGCGCCAGCTGATGAGCCAGGGCTCTCCAGACCCCTGATTATTTTTCCCAGAAAATCCCTTTGAGTCTGGCAAGAGCACCAAGGGATGAGGCAGACTAAGTTCTGTGCAATCCAGGTTGTTATCTCCTGTGGTGTAGCTTGAAGACCAGAGTGCTCAGGACAGTGGTTTTAAGTTTTAATTAGCAAGCCTGCACCAAGAGGATCTGCAATTCCCTTCTGTTCTCACCCTATCCACTTCATCTATTAAACCAGCTGCTTTTTTTTAACCAGCATCTCAGTCTCTTCCTCGTCTCACCTGGAGTTCTGATATTGCTGTAAAGTTGGGCAATTCACCCTGCAAGGCCTTTGGGGCAGAAGTTGCTATTTTTCTGCAAGAGGTAATACTTGAAGTGGAGTAATGCAAAATGTCTACTGTTGGAGCACAGCAGGGCAGAAATCTAAGTTTTAGCCTGCAATATTTTCCATGAAATGTGTATTCTCTCTCTATTTTCCTTTCTCTCTTGTCTGTTTTTAAGTATGGGTTTTGAGTGTAAATCGTGTGGGTTTTTCTAGTTAATACCTAAGGAAATGTAAGTTTATGTAAAAATTGCAATATTTTTCTGAAAAGTGTAGGTCCATGTTTGCTGTGAAAGCAGAGTTAGTTTTGCTTGAAATGATTGACATTTCCAGAGTTTTGTCCCAAAAAAAGTAGAAATTTCCAAGAGAGATTTTGATGTTTGTTTTATGTGGAATTACTGGCCTGGCTGGGCCTTTGCGGATTTATGAGAAAAACGTGGCCCTGCCTTAAGCCTGGCTAATCCACCTGAAGATAAACATATATTTAAGTGTTTTAATGCCACAGCTGGATAAGTTGTCCCAACCTCAGCAACTCTGCATGGCAAAGCACAGTTATACATATGCCTAAGTCTCATGACTTCAAACCTCTGTAATTTGGTTTCTGAGGTGTGTGCAGAGGTACAGCCTTCACAAAGGGATCATGATCTGGTTCCTGATGCTTGCCAGAACTTTGTGTGTTTTTAAAAGGTTTGTAGTCCCTTTGTAGAGCCAGTGGTGAAGGAGCAGTGTTAGGACAGGTAAGGAGCTGTCAGCTGGGGAGGTTGTACCCAAGGTAAGGACTAAGCAGGAGGAATGGGAGTAAAGTGATCTTTCTGTAGGGTGACCTGACTTCTGTGACCTGTGGCTAAACACAGAGCAGTGCAGTGATGAGTCTGAGACCACAGAACAGCACAGAGGGGAAATGGGAGCGGAACCAAGATGTCCTAAATCTCCTTTGCCCCAGACAGTGGCACAGACCACATGCCAGCCACACACAGGAGGCAAAGAGCCCCAGGACACGTGAGACATCAGATAAGCAAAGAAGGATAAGGACAGGACATAGGTAAAGTCAGGTTGCACTGATAATGTGTGCTTTTGGAAAGGATGCCAAGGGGAGAGGAACGAGGTCTTGCTTGCTGGTGTGCCACACGTGGGAGTCACCAGGTAAAGCTCCCTAGAAAGAGTTCTGGCCCCTGACCTGTGTTATGTGGGGGCTTTTCATCCTGGTGGTTTTGAGGAGAGCTGCACCCCTGTGGAAGCAAACCAGCCCATGTTGTGATGGAAGGACTGGCAACTCCCTGGGGGAGTGCTTGAGTTTAGATCCTGTGATATTTGCCACAGTCTTCTGCTTCCCACCCTCCCTGGGGGTTGTTTTCACTGAAGTCCTTGTGCCAGGAGCCTTCTCCTTGTCTAAATGGCCACTATACATTTAATCCAAACAACCAGGTGACTCCAGCACAGAGGCAGTGGCAGTAATCCAGAGTTAATGATTACCCTGGGCCCCTTGGGTTATGTAAGCCTGGATGTGCTGTACTGGGCTGGGACCTGCCCTCCCCGTCTGGGAGAAATACCAAGGACCTGCCAACACACATAGAAAGCTCTTTGGAGCCAGCTGGGATTTTCCTTTTGACAGCACCTATGAAACCCGTTATTCACTCAGTTCAGTGACTGCCATGCCATGCTTGCTTGTTATTCAGAGACGTTGCTCTTAAAGAATGAGTTGTGCTAAGCTCCCACTGGCTTCAGCACAAGCCAAAGACAGTGACTGCCATGGCTTATCCAGGGAAAAAATCTCCCAGCTAAGGCAGGAACTGCAAATCCCAACAGATCCTTGGCTTCCCTTGCTCATTCCTGCTGGGACATTTGTGTTTTTGTGGCTTTTAATCTCTTGTTCCATTGGTCTTAGTTTTGTTCTTGCCTATCTTTTGGGGGGGTGTGGGAGGGGTGGGCAGGGTGGGAGTTGTTTGAAGGTGTGTGATGTGTGAAAAATA